ATCTTTTAGTTTCTAATTTAATTCGTCCTTTGTCAGAGAAACTAAAAACATCATTATTAATTTTTGTGTTTGTAGATGAAGGTCGAAATAAATAAAAAATTAAAATTTTTGTTGATTTATCTTAAAGAATATATTAAAAAATACATATATTAAAAGTTCAAATAACGAATACTTTTATTTACACTTTTTAATATTTTAATATTAATATTTCTAATGATAAATCAAAATTTGACTATATTCAAATATGGGTCATTGACAATTGTATTATAAATCTATTGAACATTGTTTTGTTATGGTACAAAATGATTTAAATAAATATCAAAAACATTAAGTTTTATCGTATCTTTTGTTTGTGATCTTAACTTTAGAAATTTTCGTATTACTAGATTATGACTACTAATTGAAAATTTACTTTTATATATTTCAAATGTGTATATATTTAGTAGACAATTTTGTTTATTAAAGTAAAATATGATTTATAATAAATTTAAAAAAAATTAATATACTTTTCATCTGTAAACTTTTTAAATTCTATAAATATTTTATAAGTTACAATTTCATAATTTTAAAAACATTAATCTTATAACTAAATTTGAAATTTTACTAGATATTTTCTATTAACTGCAGCAATATTAGGTAACAGAATTGCTAAGTCATTATTTTAATGTAAAAATTGTGCTTAAAAAAAAGAAAAAATTTACGTCTTAAAAGACATATTAAAATTACAGATACCTGTAAAAAATTAAATCGCATTTCAGACAGAAATGCAATGATATTTTTGAATTCTTCATTAAAAATTTTATATCTTTTGCTTTATAAGGCTACACAAATTATATAAGCTTTAAAATACTAAAAACTTATATTCTGTTTTACAATATAAATAAAAAATTAGTCATCATACAATAAATATTGTCTGCAGTTTAAATGAATATTTGATTAAAATAAAATTTGAAAAGTAAATAATTTTCAAATAAAGAAAACAATGATTACTTTGTTTAACTGACTGATTAAGCTAACTAAAAACAAATTATTAAATTGTCCACTGCAAAACATTAATAATATAAAACAGTTTGTATTTGATAATCCCTAGTGATCACTTTTAAAGAACATGTTTTATTTTAAATTTTTAAAATAATTCTTAATTTAAAAGATTGTTAAGATAATTATAGTAATTGTTAATAATACAAATGAATTAATCCTAAAATGAGTTTTTGAATTTATGAACAAGCTATTCTTTATATATATATATTCATGTAAGAGAATGATGAATTTAAGATACTGAGTAAAAAGGAGGTTTTTATTATATGTAATTCTTTTAAATAGAATAATTATAAACAATAAAATAATAATATTGTGAATACTGTTGTGCAATGTTTTTTAAAAATCTTCGAAGTTAAAAATATCATTATTTATGTTCCATATTTCAAATTTATGGCATAAACAAATATACTTCTTTTTTAATACGAAACAAACAGTTTACCATGTTCTTATATCTGATTTCTTAATTATAACAATCGTATTTACTTAAAATAACTACAATTCACGATACTTTACATACCAACTCTCGACAACACTTTTTCTATCATTATTTATATTCATTCATTTGTAATTATATTTCAAATTTACTTTAAAATATTGTAGGTAAGTTATTAAACATTAATAAGGTTATATAACGAGTCTTTGATAATTTATATGATAGCATTATGTATATACATGCACATGATTCTCAAAAACATAAAAATAAAAAGAATTTATAATTATTGACTAATATTCATTATTATTCTTGAAAATACTTTAGCAAATAAACAAATCAAATAATAGGACTAGTTGTGTGACTTATTAGAAATAATTATCCATAAACAAGTGAAATCTTTATGTAGTGTATTTCATCTCCAACTAAATTTGAATAAATATAAAATACATCACAATATATACTTATAAAAGCTAATTTATCAATTTAAGCAAGCAATGTTTGATTTTGTATCTTTAAAACTGAAAATAATAAAACTGAATTAACTGTTATAATCCCATATCAGTTACATCTTTGTTTCCAAACGCAGCAATGTAAATCTTGTAAATTAAATTAATATAGAACTATAACAAAAAGATTTATGTTTTTAAATAAAAAAACAATCAAAGAATGAATCTCTTTTTTATAATTATATTATCAAACAAATTAAAAATGAATAAACTATGATAAAATACTTTAAGGCCTAATCAATTAATATGATTAATAGGTACAATAAATTATTGTAGATACTACTACAAATTTAAAGTAAAGTAATTCATTATCTAAATATATTATATATATATATTGATAAATATTATTTTTATGTACTATTAAACCTGATAANTTTTTAATATGAAACAAACAGTTTACCATGTTCTTATATCTGATTTCTTAATTATAACAATCGTATTTACTTAAAATAACTACAATTCACGATACTTTACATACCAACTCTCGACAACACTTTTTCTATCATTATTTATATTCATTCATTTGTAATTATATTTCAAATTTACTTTAAAATATTGTAGGTAAGTTATTAAACATTAATAAGGTTATATAACGAGTCTTTGATAATTTATATGATAGCATTATGTATATACATGCACATGATTCTCAAAAACATAAAAATAAAAAGAATTTATAATTATTGACTAATATTCATTATTATTCTTGAAAATACTTTAGCAAATAAACAAATCAAATAATAGGACTAGTTGTGTGACTTATTAGAAATAATTATCCATAAACAAGTGAAATCTTTATGTAGTGTATTTCATCTCCAACTAAATTTGAATAAATATAAAATACATCACAATATATACTTATAAAAGCTAATTTATCAATTTAAGCAAGCAATGTTTGATTTTGTATCTTTAAAACTGAAAATAATAAAACTGAATTAACTGTTATAATCCCATATCAGTTACATCTTTGTTTCCAAACGCAGCAATGTAAATCTTGTAAATTAAATTAATATAGAACTATAACAAAAAGATTTATGTTTTTAAATAAAAAAACAATCAAAGAATGAATCTCTTTTTTATAATTATATTATCAAACAAATTAAAAATGAATAAACTATGATAAAATACTTTAAGGCCTAATCAATTAATATGATTAATAGGTACAATAAATTATTGTAGATACTACTACAAATTTAAAGTAAAGTAATTCATTATCTAAATATATTATATATATATATTGATAAATATTATTTTTATGTACTATTAAACCTGATAATCTAGTAAGTTATAAATTACAATTTACTATTACAGTATCTATACCATAATTTGTAAGCTAGGCCTAAACAATGAAATTTGAAACTGAGAATAAAATGATGATAAATTTTCAACCTACAAAATAAAAAAAATTAATGTACGAATTTCTCATTTTGTAAAAAAGCATTTTTACAAAAATCCATAGAACAAACTGAAATCTAATCTAACAGATAATACCACTACATAAGTTAAACTATTTCGTAAACATACAAAAATCCAGTTGAACCGACAAATGTAACTGGCAAGACAAAATAATTCTTAAAAATTATGTACATCAAAGTAATTAATTGTGTACTAAAATGATGTCTTTTATCGTCGATACTCGATCTAAAATATCCGTCACTGTAAAAATTCACTTTCCAATATAATAATTTCCTCTTTAAAATTATTTACATATGCATATGAATAAAACCTTTTCGATTATTTTTGAAAAAAAAACAAATTAACAGTCTACATCTTCATCCGCATCATCACCATCATCATCATCATCAATTTGTCAATATTTATTATATATAATAAATCAATTATTATAATAAAGTACTTCATTATCATCTCAACCAACTTTTTATAAAATATATATAAATTTCAAATTTAAATATCAATTTCATAAAAAGATAAATATATTATTAAATATGCAGTTTCTATAAAACAAGTTAAGTAAGGATTGACTTATAATTACTGTATAAAACATATTTTATTGCATTAATTTGTGTTAATTATATGAGAGCAGTCATGTAAACAATGTGGATATTTTTTTTTTCTTGTAAAATCAAGTGTCTATTTATAGTTAGTATACAGAAACTATGTTGTTCATATGTTAATTGTAATCATACTAAAAGGTGTATATGTGTGTGTGTAATCTTTAAGTATAAATGAAATGATGCAATAGATCCTATTTAAGGCATATTTTAGTAGAGTATAGTAGCTCCATCTAGAGAATTAGATGTAAAAATATTATTCCAAATTTATATATAATCTCATTCATTTTTATATAATTAGAGAGTTGTAATGTATTTTAAAAAATTCACATTATTTGCTACTGTAATGTGTAACCCTTAAAAAGCAAACAATCAACTTGCAATTGTTGTTGCATTCCCAAATGAGAATTTAGGCCTAACATGTTGAATTAAAAAAAAAAAAAACACACACACACATACACACAATCCTACAGTTGTAAAACAGCATGTTTATTGTATGTTAATTAATAATGTCTAATTAACCTGTTAATAATTGGTAAATATACTAAAAACACCTCCCAACCTATCCAAATTTTCTTAACACTAACTGTATTGTAGCCCAAATAATAAAATCTGTTTTGATTAATTATTCTTTATAAAATGATATTGGTACAAAATGACACTTGTTTTACTTTTATGTATTTNAAGATTTGTATTATTGTCCTTATTTTCTATTTATGCTTTTTAGAACAGCTTATTACCGCATATATATATATATATATTATATATATACTTTAATTCCAAATTTCTTAATATATATATATATTTTTTGTGTAGAATATATAAATGGAAAATTTTTAATTACAAATTATGTATAGAAATTGTTATTCAAAGTTTTGTTCTAATGACAAATTTCTAGTGTAGGGTATAATAGAGAATAATGTAATTGAAACGTCTCTTCCATAATACAACTGTCAATCCTTCCTGATATTTGTTTTTCAGAATGGGACAAAAGTTGATTTCCAGACTTACTTTTTGTCATTTATCATCAAACTTTTTCTCATTTCGAACGACTTTTTTGTCATTTCGTGTTCGGGTAGAACATGGCGGGGTTTAGTCAAAACGATCTCTTTTTTAATCACAATACTTTTAAAAACAAAGTAAGTTTTCTAGTAGTGTTCCGTTTTAATTTTTTTTTATAGTGATTTTTTTTTATTTATTTATTGACTCACGACGTCAAAATACCTGGATTATAAACTCTTCTTTTTGGTAGATTTTTAATGGATTCTTAAACGTTAAAGATGGCTGTCCTTGGAACGGTAATACCCGATGGTTTGGTAAAACCACCGAAATAACTTCTTATAATACGACTAAGGTTGAAAATAACAACATAGTACCCTTTGTTGTTGATGTGAGATGGCTGCTGATATCCTTGTAGTGCCGGATGGTTCTTCGTGTCCATAATATCCTTCGGATTGAAAATGTCGGCACCGTTCCCTCAGCAGCAATGGCTACGCAACCACAAAACAACAACCCTCAGAGCACCTTTTATAGTCGACGTGCAGTCTACTCATCACCGATTGGTCCGGCGGCGGTCACGTGACGTGCCGCGACATGTTTCTAGTCATATTTCACACATTTACCTTCGATTAAAGTACCGAAAACGATATATTTCAATCACTCGAATCTCACTTACGGTATGTTATGTTAGAAGTCAAATAAAGACACCATAATGCACACCGTACGCGACTAGAACGCCGAGTATACTAACCGTTGCCCATCACACTACACGATGCCAAAACAACTGTCTCACCTCTTGCAACGTCATTCGGCAATCGTACCGATCACGTGAATGTGACGTGTTAATCACATGCGCCACATTCCAATTTCAAATATGAAATTTTTATTTCATTTTATTTTATTTTTTTTTCTTTTATTATTTTATTTTATTTATCAACAAGTATGACGACGAGGATGATGTCGATGATAACATTTTAAAATTCTTTTTTTAAATTTTAAATTTTATAATTAATAAAACAATTACAAAATTTAAAAAAAAATAAATAAATTATTATTATATTTAAAATGATAAAACTCTTTTACATAAAATTTAAACAATTGCTATTATTTTATATTTTAAAAAAAAATTTAAATATCTATAAAAAGATCAAATTTTAAAAAGTTATTTATTAATTAAAAACTTTAAAAACTGTTCATAAATTCATTTTTTTAATTAAAATATAAAGTAAAAATTAATAAAAACAACAATAAAAAAACATTATTTTAGCCATTTATCAATTTACAATTAATTATTAAACTTCTTAAATTTAATTAAGTACATTTAAAACAACAAAGCATTGAAACTAAAATGGAGAATTACAGCTTTAAAANTGAACAGAACACAACAAACTGGCTGAAATTTTCCATTTTATGGAGGATTTCATTTTTATTAATGTAGAAGACAGGAAAAATTCTATATGAAAGGTGGACCAAGTGCAAATTCAAATTTCTTTTATTACTTATGTTACTTGTAATTTTTCTGCATTTTATGTTTGGAAAAATGATGCATTATACACTACCCAAAGTACCCATTAATGTATTTTGATTTTTATTTAAGATAAATTAATATAATAATTCCTAAATAAATTGCCATCTCTAGAATAGTCTGTATGGACTTGGATTACCTTAGAACTGAACCATTCATATAAAAACCCAATATATTTCAATAATGGTTTAGAATTTAACTGCAATTAAATTCTACTTTGCTCAGCTGCTTTACTCAAGTTGTTATGGAACTGATATTCCAAAAGTCTTCTATTTCTGCTTTAGATAGATTTATGGCTTAAAACAAAAAAAATCTTTCCATTTAGATAAGTTTCTGCTTTGTACAACATCTGTTTTAAGATAGCTTTTACTATATTTATAAATCACATTCTATGCTGCTCTGAGATGTCTGTTAAAATTGAAATTATCCTCCATTTTCCAAAGCAATGAAGAAATAATTTATTCCAATTAATCAGCATTGATCTAATCAGATAAAATTATACAATTATGAATAATTAAATTTATTTTTATAAAAATTAAGAAAAAACTAAAGTTATATTTTCTATATTGCAACAAAATAGTATGTTAGTTCAATCCACAAATCATTCCTAAACTTTTATAAATTTCAAATTAGTAACATACAGGGTCTTCCAAAAATAATGCTACCATTTTAAATTATTATCTAAGAACATTGTATTTTATATTAAAACATTGGAAAACTGTGAAAATTTCACATTTGACCATTACAATTTCTCAATGTCTGCACCTTACATCATATAGCACATATCCAATCAATACTCAGATTCTTCCTACACTTGCTACAGTATTCAGCTGTCACTCCTACCATGGCAACCACAATTCTACAGCTCCTTCAGATTACTCATGTTGCACAATGACAAGTGATTCTGACTTTGCAAATAACAGAACATAAAAGGTCTTCTAAGGCATTTCTGCCTTTGCCAGATTTGCTTACAACACTTCCCAGAGACAGTAGATAACAACATATTTGAATGCAGATGGTAGATTAAATTCAGACGGTTACTTCTCAGATAAAAACTAACATAATTACAGCAATTTAAAAATGGTAGCATTCGTTTTAGAAGATCCTGTATTGTAATATAACTTAAAACAGAATTAGATAACTTAACATTGAATAAATATATTTAAAGAAATATTTTCAACTCATTTAATGAGTTATACTCAAATTACATGCTTGTTATTCCAAGCTTTTCCTTTCACTTCTATTTTTTTAATTAATTAATTAATTAATTAATTAAACAGAATTAGAAAAAATAAAATAATGGCATAAAAATTGAAATTTTTAAACAAAATATCAGATTTTATAAATATGAAAATTATTTAAATAAATAATTCATATTTATAATGAGTTAAAAGGGTAATTACTCGGGCCCCCACCAACAGGGGCCCCAAACCAATCATTAATAAAAAAACATTTCACCAAGAAAGTTTCCCCCAAAAGAAAAATGTCTGAAGTCAACATTGTACAGTACATGGGGCCTCCTAATTCAAATTTGCCTAGGCCTCATGCCCCCATAAAGCTATAAAGCACCACTGTAACTAATTAGTGTGGCAATAAAGAAAATAAGGGCCCTCAATTACATAGAACCAGCAGGGCCATTTGTCCAAGGCCTCACCTCACATTTTTTGGGCCTAAAGAAACATTAATTCCATTGCATTTCTTGTATGTTAAGGCATTAAAAAAACAATGGCTTTTTTTTAATACACAGGAGGCCTCAAAAAAGTAAATAGTCCATCCTCTCTAACCTCTAGGAGGCCTTTTCGTGTGATTATAATTTTTAAAAAGGGAGAAAATATCTTAAATTATATTAACAATCATAAAGGCCATTTAAAAGGCCTTAAAACTGTATTATATTATTTAAAAAATTAATTCTGACAAAAAGATTATATTTATTTTTAATGTAAAGAAATGATAATAGGAAAAATAATTTGTAAGAAATGTTTTTGGGACCCTCAGCAGAGGCCTCATATTTTTATGAGGCCTTATCATAGGTGCTTGATAGGGTTTAATATTATTTATTATAATTAAAGTAGACAAGAAGATAAACTCTGTAGTTTCTTATATTAGCACAATAATAATAATATGGTCCTTGATATATGAGTATCCTCTACTTGAAAGATTCTCTGCTTATAAAAAAAGGAGAATTCTCTAACTTTAGATAACTTTGGAGTTATTCCTCTCACTTATTAAAGTTGCATGTAATTTAATAGCCTTATGAAAGTGGAGTAATGGAGAATCCTCTATGTATAAAGGGATTCTCCATCACTCGAAACAACATATTCAGCTTTAATAATTGAGTGGAGTAGCTTCACTTATGAAATTTGTATATATGATTTTAGGTGGTTTCGCACAAACAAGAATAATATACAGGAATTTTTTAATTAATTAAATTGTAATAGACTTACCAAGTCACCTCTTCTTTCTCTCCACTGCTTTTCTCCTTTATCTTTCCTATTTTTCTACCCACTTTATGCATGGGTAAAAATTGCTTTCCCTGTAGTAAAAATAAGTTATTATGAACTTAAACACTTATCTAATAATCAGTTCAATCAAATAATGTTTTTTTTAGGGATTTTTAAGTATATTATAAATAATATAATTTTCTCTCTCTCTTCAAATTTAATATTGAATCAGTTTTTATGCATTTACATAAATTTTGTATAAGTTTTCATTTATTTGTATGAATGGAAATATGCAAATTATTTCAAAGTATTATGAAAGAGAACAAAAAAGAGAATAAATGTTTATGCTCTTTTTTTCTTCTTACATTCTACTTCTCATTTTATTGCACACTAAAACAAGAAGAATAAACCAGATCCTCTCATTCTATTTTAGCCTCTTCCAATCCGCATCCCTCTCTCTTCCTCTGTGGATCATTTCCTTCTCCATCTGCTCTTAGTATTATTATTATTTTTTTTTTTTTGGTCTTATTCCACACACCTCTTTTCTTTCCCCATGTTCATTAGAGAAAAAGGGAAAAATCATTCTAAAATATTCTCTATTTCTCTCTTATATTTCTCTATATCTTTTCATTTCTAATCTTCTTTTAATAATTAAAATTGTTAACCAAAGATATTAAAATATCTTTTTATAGATTACATTATTCAATTCATTAACTTTAATTCCAATAAACTAAAAAATCACCGTTACTGAAGTTTTCTTGGTAAAGCACATGCACATGCAGCAAAAGTGGATTTTAAGGGGCAAAAACGTGTTGCAAGACTGGAAACTTCTTAACAGGACGTGTGTCAAACAAAAATTTTTAATAAAAAAACAAAAAAAAACCCTAAAAAAATTTCTTTAGTTCTTTGAAAAGCTTCCAAACACATTATTTAAGGCACATTAGTGTAGTGTGCCAATATACAATTGAGATGACCTCTATAACTTTGCAATAGAACAAGCGAATAAAATCACTCCTCCTGTCACACGGCCGTCTCCATCAACCAGTTTCTGACAGAAAAAGAAATTTCTGTGGTTCTCCAGGCTCCCTATTTGTCTGATCTCAGTCGGTGTGACTTGTTTTTGTTCCCCAAGATCAAAACCCATTTGAAAGGACGTCATCTCGGTACCGTCGATAGCATCCAAAGGAGAGTAACCGCCTTGCTTCAGGCGATTCTTTATACATTTGGAATAAGTTACTTTGCAATGCAAATACTATTAGAATGTGGCGGGACTTCAAAAGAGTTCCTGTTTCTAATTACTTGTAAGCAGAGAGAACTAATTAGAGTACCCATTTATACTGTGTTTATTTATAACAAAGCAGGTTTACACTACTGTATAAACTTCTTGGCTCTAACTGGACATGAGGAACGTTAATTCTCTATGTTGTTTCTATGTATTTATGACGTAATATCGTTTATAGACGATTTAATTTAGTTACAGAAGAAATTGCAACGCGTTATTGCACAAAAACAACGCAAGTTATTGGATAATTCCGGATTATCGGCTACCTTCTGGGAAGGTGTCGGATTAACGAACCTCTTCCGTAACAACAATTATTAAAAACATTTTTTAGAATTTAGAAGAAAACTACAAAGGAAATGCTACAAATTACATTTGATTGAGATTTACTGGAAATCAATTTCTTAAAGTGTATGTGTGTGCCATATTATCTTTTCCCTTAAAGATGTATAGAGATAAGCCAAGCATTTAACACGTTTCTCTTTACAAATGATATGGAAATTAGTCTACAGATTAAATAAAGATCTTTATTTAAAAAATTTACATGGAAATTTAGCTATAGAACATAAT